ATTTGAAAAATATGAGCGAAAAATTGGGTATCAACAAAGGGGGCTTTGACATGGTACTCACTTTTACCTAAGTACTCAATAGATTCCTTTAAAATGCTCATGGTCTCTTTTATCAAGGCCCATGCGGGGCCAGGAAGGTCCAGTCCCGAAAGGAGAAGATATTTAGAATTTTGTAAGGAGAGTTCGAGTTGCTACGCGAATTTGTGACCAAGATTAAAAAAGAAAGGATTATGTTACTGGTCGTGCCAGATGAATGGGCAGCTGAGGCATTTACTAAGGGGTTGAACCCGAGGAGCTCCGATGCTTCCCAAAAATTGAAAGAAAGCATGCTCGAGTTCCAGGAAACTACATGGGCAGATGTCTATAACCGTTAAGAATAAAAGAAAAGAATAGAAGATGATCAACTTGGGTTCCCTACATCAACTAAGGGTCGGGATCAAGAAAAGAACAGGGATAAGTCAAAGGATGATTTTGACGTAGATCGGCGATAAACTGAAGGATGCAGCAAGGGGTTCCGATCTAGGAATAGGTTCGCGCCCGATAGAAAAATTGATTGTGGCCGGAATAGAAGGTCATTGCAACATGAAGAGATATCGAGTTACCAAGATTCCACATATTCTAGGTTGTCCGAGTACAATTTCAATGTCAGCATAGTGGAGCTGGTATCCGCGATGAGGAATATCAAGGAAGCACAGTTCCCGAGGCCATTGAGATCCGATACCATCCAGAGGGATCCTAATCTATGGTGTGGGTATCATGGGACTAACAGACACCGGACTAGGGACTGCCGACATCTACACGAGGAGGTGGCAACGTTGTTGAAAAATAGTCATCTTAGAGAGTTCTTAAGTGATCGGGCTAAAAATAATTACGGCCGCAATTGGGATAATGCAGATCCCTCAAAGATAGGTGAAGACCCTACCCGACAAACCTTCAATATGATTTTCGGGGAAACAAGATCAATGGTGTGACATTCTCGGCAGCAAAAATGACAAAGGTGTTGGTGACTCATAGCAAAAGAATCCGAGAAGTCGCCGAGGACGACATCACATTCATAGAAGAAGACGTCGATGTACTTCTGTTACCGCACAATGATGCCTTGTTAATTTCTCTTAGTGTTTTAGATTTTAAAATTAAACGTGTTTTGGTGGACCCAGAAAGTCCAGCCAATATATTTCAATGGAGAGTGATGGAGCAAGCCAAGATAATTGGAAGCATCATTCCGGCCACAAAGCTCCTTGCCGGGTTCAACTTAGCAAGTGTGACAACCCGAGGGAGATCTTGCTGCCTACAAATGCCGAAGGGGTCATGAAAACTACCTTGTTTGAAGTAGTAGATGGTGACAAGGGCTACAACATTATTCTTGGCAGACAAAGGCTACACGAGATGAAGTTTGTGCTATCAACATATCATCAACTTTTGAAATTCCCAACTCCCGAGGGAATCAAACAAATAAGAGGAGATCAACCGACGACAAGGGAGATGAACGCGATATCGGTTTCCAGCAGTAAAGGGAAGGAGCACGCGACATAGAAATTATAGGAACCGGTGCCTGCTCCCAAATCAAATGAAGATGACAAAGGGGAAAAGTTGTTGGAATCCTACTAGGTATTGAGGTATTCCCAGGTATTTGAAGAAACAGATGCGACGAAATCCACGGCGGAAGAATTTGAACAAATGGCTTTGTTTGGAAAGTTTCTAGAGAAGAAGTTCCACTTGGGGACAAGACTGAACCCCGAGATCAGGCCAGGATTTATAGGATTTCTTAAAACTAATATTGATTGTTTTGCATGTTCGCATGCGGATATGACATGTATCCTGCTAGAAGTGGTCGTATACAAGTTAATCATGGACCTCAGAATCCTTCCGGTAAGGCAAATAAGCGCCCGATTGCCGAGCTCAGAAATAGGTTTTTCAAACAAGATCTAACTCGATTGATCGATATCGGTTCAATCTAGGAGGTAAAATGATTGATGCAATGGTCGGGCACGAGTTGATGAGTTTCCTCGATGCCTATTCCGAGTACGACTAAATTAAGAACATACTGCTACAATTTGATTCCCTTCGGGATTAAGAACGTCGGAGCCACTTATCAGAGGTTCATGAACAACATGTTCGAAAAGCAAATAGGGAAAATAATGGAAGTTTATATAGATGATATGTTGGTTAAGTCTTTGAACGTAGGTGACCATTTGAAACACCTCCAAGAAACCTTTGACATCCTAAGGAAGCACAACATGAAGCTTAACACCGAAAAGTGTGTGTTCGGAGTCAGCTCCGGTAAGTGTTTAGGTTTCCTGGTGTCATTAAGCAGGATCGAAGTCAATCCCGAAAAAATTAAAACAAACGAATACATTTCAAAACAGTTGACAAACATGAAAGAAATCCAATGACTAACTGGAAGACTGACTGCTCTAAGCAGGTTCATTTCCCTATCTTCAAAAAAATGCCATCACTTCTTCTCCCTTCTGAAGAAGAAGAACAATTTCGAGTGGACCACAGAATGCCAACATGCTCTAAATGACCTAAAATGATATCTATCAAGCCCCCCGTAACTATCAAAATCAGAGGAAGGTGAACAATTGCTAATATACTTAGCGGTGTCAGAGGTAGCGGTCGATGCCTTTCTAGTCTGGGAGGACGAATGTACGCAATATCCTATCTATTATATTAGCAAAATTTTAATGGGAGTGAAAACTCATTATCCGCTCCTCGAAAAGTTGGCCTTAGCCCTGTAGTCGTTGCTCGAAAGCGTAGGCCTTATTTTCAATGTTACCCAATAGCCGTGGTAACAAATATTTCCCTGTGGAATGTTCCTCCATGATTCTAGGGTGAAAACCTAAGATAAAAACTTAAATCCAACGTTATAAATCCCGTGGTGATTGCTAGATCGTAGTTCTTCATCTTGTGGATGTTTTGGAGAATTCTTCAAAGGTAAGTAACCTCAGATTTTGTGTTGCTCTTTAATATTAAACTAAGAGTCAGTACCTCCTTCGTGTATATTAGATTTTCAAGGCAAAATACAAGTGTTTACACACCAACATGAACACAAAAGTTGATTCAGGAAGAGAATATTACTCCTATAGGGCTGTGGTGTGATTGAGGGTTGTTGTGTGCTACACCAGCAGGGGATTTCAAGTTGTATCTACTGCCTAAGGTAAGTAAATCATGTTCTTGGTTGTGCTTAAGGTCAATCATGTGTTGTTTGAGTGAAAATCTACAAGATAGTAATTGACATGGCATAAAGAATCATTATCTTTTTTGTGGGTTGTGTTGAGGCTATATATAGGGTTTGTTTTGGCTAGAAATTGTTATAAATAGTTTTATTATGTTATGGCTGCTGTTGTTAATTTTACCTATGTGCTAATTCAGTGGATTGAAGAAGATAACATGAAAAATAAGATGTTGATGATAAAGGTTAAGGTGCTATGTGTGTGGACTATATTTGAAGATTATGCTTATGATGTGTTGGGTTGAAAATGATATGGTAAGCATAAGTATAATGTTATACATGTTGTAGGCAGATTCATGGAAAATGAGTTGGATTCGAACCATATTTTGTTAATCGTAAATCGAGCTTGCCGCTTAAAATGGTTGTTGAACAAATCGGAGAGCTTATTGTGAATTATATTGTTGTTGTTTGGGCTGTTTGGTGAGTTTTGGTAACATATGGGATGTAGTAAAAATAGGGGAGGTGTTGTCCGTTTTCTTGTAGAATATTAGTTTCCAAATATGAGAGTTACAACGCTTATATGACGACGACGAAGTCGGTTTACTCATTGTATACGTAAGAAGATCATATTGAGCTTGCTTGACGATTGGATAGATGATTTCAAAGGTATGTTAAGGCACTTCCTTCTTTCTTTTAGCATGATCTAATGTGAAATGAATACGCTATTTTATAATGTATCTACTCCTAGCAACTAAGTTGCCCATGTTGTTCTTTCCTTGTAAAGTTATTCTAGGCAAGTAAGTATGATCCTTGAATCCTACAGAAGTTTATATTGATGGTATTATTTCCATAATGTTAATTGAAGGTGCAACGACTTTATGTCACTCCGAAAGGTTTAGAACGTGATTCCATGAGTCTAGCATGCATTATATATACATATATATATATATATATACATACATATATATATATATACATACATATATATATATATATATATACATACATATATATATATATACATACATATATATATATATATATATACATACATATATATATATATACATACATATATATATATATATATATACATACATATATATATATATACATACATATATATATATATATATATACATACATATATATATATATACATACATATATATATATATATATATACATACATATATATATATATACATACATATATATATATATATATATACATACATATATATATATATACATACATATATATATATATATATATACATACATATATATATATATACATACATATATATATATATATATATACATACATATATATATATATACATACATATATATATATATATATATACATACATATATATATATATACATACATATATATATATATATATATACATACATATATATATATATACATACATATATATATATATATATATACATACATATATATATATATACATACATATATATATATATATATATACATACATATATATATATATACATACATATATATATATATATATATACATACATATATATATATATACATACATATATATATATATATATATACATACATATATATATATATACATACATATATATATATATATATATACATACATATATATATATATACATANAATGAGTAAATGTAAGGTCTTCAGTATATTATTTGTGTACTAAGACGTGTAAGCTTATTGATAAGGAGTTCTAAAGCATGAATATCTATCCACCCATATGGTAAAAAGTAATAAGAGAATCAGAAGGTAGATACAAGTTTCAACAAGCAAAAGAAGCAAGGTGAAGAAGGATACGAGGTATCCAGTTAGTGAGGATTATTAGTTTTTACAATTCAGGTAGAGAAACATAAGTATTATGAGTTAATTTCAACAATAACAAAGATCTGTACAATTGGCCATGCCCATCTCAGTTATGCCCTATGGGAGTTGACGGATATAGTTTAAGAGAAGAAGGGGATAGCAAGATCCAATTGGGGTTAGAGTAACCCAAAATGGTAGATGGATTATTATCATTAGCTAACATTTCCGAAGGATATTGCAAATGTGGTAATAGTTCTCCCTGTGAGACAACTCGATTGTGCACTCTAGGATAGTACATTTAGATATGAAATACTAGAATGCCCACAAAATTTAGATGATTGGCATAATCCTAGAAGAGATAAATATTTACCTTTGTATGGCTCTCGTCCCTAGTAAAGATAGAATGTTAGGCGACTCGAAGAGCCAGTGGATGGAGCAAGGGGAGCTAAAAGCGAAAGAATATTTTGTTGAAGTTTTCAGAATAAGGTGATAAACAGAAATATTAGCTGGAGAATAAGAAGAGAGTAAATAAAGTATTATGAGTAAGATGTGATAAATGGGTGATAACAGTAAATCAAAATATGACACGATGATAGAGTCTATAGTCAAGTGAAGGAAAAGACAAGAGGTGACAGGCCTTGAGACAATAAAAGAGTATAGGCCAAAGGTCATATCCTCATTTCGAGAAATGAGTTGGTGAGTCCAACGTGATTACTAGAAGGTTAAGTTAGACCCCCTGTAGTAATAGAAATTAGTATGGTGTAGTAAACAAGATAAAACTGAACATGAATTAGGGACCGAAGGATTTGATAATAGTCGACATCGTGATAATTTTAGAGACCGCGTTCTGACAATAATAGAATGGACAACAAAAGAATAACTTTTAAAGGTCATTCAGGAAGATGCTTCCCTAAAGCAAGCATGTGAGTAGAGTTAAGCTTAAGGGACTAAGTGTGCTAGTTACACTGGTGTCACCTTCGTGCGTAAGAAATTCAATTATCGCTGGTACATAAGGATTACCCCAAGGCAAATAAGAGTCCATGAAAATGTGAAAAGACGCCAAAGATGAAGAGGTTAAATATTATTGGTAAATCTTCATAGCATTAAATGTTAGTACTCCCCTAAAGGGGAAAGATGGTGTGATATGGTATTAAGTCGGAGATATGTGGTTTAGATAACTATGGAATAGTAAAGGAAGATTGTGGGAAAAAAAGCAAAAGGGGTGAGGCTGCATTTATTCAGATCCTACAAATATGATACAACTCTAGAACATTATACAAGCACGACGCC